TCCACTGTTAGGCCAAATATGCAATGGCCCTATCAACTTTAGTCACTGGGCCCTGTTAGACTCCGTGAAGAAACTGTAGCAAAAACATCCTGGCCTGGGTGGACAGAGCAAGACACACATCAAAGTGTCTGAGGTGAAACCCATCTGTATCTCTGCATACGTCTGCCAGAATAAACAAAGGAATGTATGTAAGTTATGTGGCTTGTATAGAGACCAAATATACACTTAATCTTCCTAGTGAATCACCTTTTTCACACAAAGATCAGCAGTGATCCCTAGCAGAACAGCTGCTCAAACACATTCGGCTCTGGCCTCAGAAACCTCCCACACCAATGTCATGAGTAAAAAGCTATAAAAGAGCTGTTCTGTCTTTGGAGGGTCAAATAGCAGCCTGTAAATGTTTCTAATAGGGGAGAGTGTGACTACAGATATTCAGTCCTCTTTCTTACTGGCCTTATTCAGAAGCAAAAAGTTAAGAGAAAAATGTTATGGGAAAGTAAAAATAGGGGCCGTCCACAGGAAATGAATCGTTTTCTCACACTTCAGCTTTCATACTGCTGGTGTATGGGCCTCAGCTACGAATTTACCTTGATTTTATTTTATCTTTTATTAAAAAAATAAGTATTAGAAAGTGTAAGCTCCTGCAACACTGATCTAGAAAGATCTGCCTATTATCAGAGGCTCTTCTAAGCACCCTCGTTATTTTCTTATAGCAGAATCAGTCTCAAATCTCAGTATTGAAGAAGAGAAACTTCTCAGTTTCAAACTGAATCACTAACTAATACAAGCTCACTCTTTATTATGTGCTATCCATTAAATGCATTGTCTCATGTTTCATCTTCATCCTAGTTCCCCAAATTTACATTATTACAATTTGAATTCATACATTTTAGCAAAACATTAATCACACAGAAACAGTGTCTTGCTCACCTTATAAGAGACAGGAACATTACTGAGATCATGAAATTTCATGTGGACTAGCTGATATTTCTTTATTCTTCATAATGGCCATTTTGATCTTTAAGAACGGACAAGGCAAGCTGCTTAGCTTACCAAAACAAAATGTGTATGTGCACATTTGTACGTGCACGTATCTGACAGTCAGTCCCTCTTAGACATGTTTGAATCTATTGGCCAAATTTGACAAAAGAAGACATCTCAAAATTTGTATTTCCTACAGGTTCCATGAACAGCCAAAAAGAGGAGAGGAGGCCCATTCATGCCTCCTATAGGGACCGGCTACAATCTGTCTTGGAGTTCAGGGAATCCACCTGGGAACTACATGTCCAGGCACAGGTCTGTAGGATACAAGGCTTCACTGGTTCTGCTGCTCACAGAGTCACTTGTTTCAAACACAGGCAAGAGCAATCATTTGCACTGAGAATCTTCACAGATCACAGGGAAGCCCCTGAAATTTGTGTATAGTGGATTTGACCTTGATTCATTGCAAATTATTCATGAACTACTTAACAGTGTTAGCCATCACCTGAGATGTATAAAAAAATCAACATCAAAGCCATGAACAAGTGTGTAACAGTTTTTTGTTTTCCATGGGGCAGCACTGAGAAGGTTTTTGTTTGTTTGTTACGGCCTTCATCATTCCATGGACAGAATAAAGACATGACACTTATGACTGAATCTGCAGATAACTACAATATTTTCTCTTAGGCTCTCTCTGCAGATATTTCTTCATTAGCTACTCTCACCAAAGCTTATTATAAATTATTTTTGAACTAAGACCTACCTTACCCACTTTTAATGGAGGCTACTAAGAATACCACATGCATGTTAACTTACTCAAGCAGCTATCATTAGTTGAGTGACCAAGCTAGACAGTTTAATAAGAAACCAGACAGGTAATGGCTTCGCGATTACTTTGCAGCCATTTGCTTACTTTATTAAACTCGTCAAGGACTTAAATCAATTATCTAACAAAGCAACTTCCAGAAGAAACATGGTAGGAAAGGTCAGTGTATTTCAAGCAGGAACACGAGCACTGCTGAAAGGTTTATGAATGTTCAACTAAGTGACTGACTCACCTCCCAGTATTTTAGATCCAGATCCATCACAGTCATTAAGGAAAGTAGCCCTTTGTCAACTAAAAATAATTCTATGTCCTGCTCAGCAAGTGAATAGGGAAGGAAGGGGAAAATAAGTCAGGAATGAGATTTGCAAAAATGGCTAAATGAACTTGTGATTCTAAATATCCCTCCTGCATGTGATTTGCCAGGAAATAACAAAAGAAGGCAGTGGAACAGGAAAGAATGGAATAGTAAGGATTCCTGCCTTAAACAGAAGATGAGGCTACTCTCCTGAGAACATGATCCTACACAACAATGCCAAGCGGTAACACTCCAAGAAACGTGGTTTGTGTGTGTGATAAGATTTACTCTGACAGAGAAATAAAATCTAATAAAAGGACAAGTTGGACTGCAAGAAGAGAAGCTGAAATTGCAAAAAAATAAGAAGGGATGTGGAAATAGGAAAAATTGATTGTCTGATGGATTGAATGGATATTCAAATAATATTTTTATTATGAAAAAAATGCCCTTCTTGCATGTTTACCATAGATATCTTTCAGTCTGACCAAGTTTAGGCAGGCAAATCTTACATGATATTATTGATTACTCATCTTCGTTATTGATGAGCATAATCATGTCCCCAGAGCTGCAGAAGCTATGATTTCTTTCAGGAATTATTTCTGTATGCAACTTCTTACTCATAGTCAGGAACGCCAGTGAACTGGATGCAGGTACAGCTGTCCCCTTAAAATGTTTCAAGTTTCAGGAAGACCCATAGCATCACACAGCTAGGGCCAGCTGAATTATTTTTGCCATCTGCAGCAGATGAAAAGTAACTTTAGAGAAGAGGCAGTCAATGAGCCATGCAATGTTACTAAACATCGGATGTTTGCATTCCCGCTTTAGAGGGACTGCTCCTGATTAGCCCTCATACAAACAAGTATAGTAATAATTCACTGTCTTCTACCCCACCCAGATGAAAATGTGATGTTCTCCCTTCTCCCCAGGTATCTCTGAACCCAGGGCCCCCACTCTCCCTGTGCTAGAACCAGAACCCCATGGCAGAAATGTGAAAATAAGTGGGATGTTATTATTACAGTGAGCTGTGTTTCTGAATTCAGTCACATCAGCTATTAACTCTTCCTATAGTTGCAGGAAGCTGAAAGCTAAAGGCAAAGGAGGACATCTGTAAAATAACAACAAATATGGCTAGAGGGGAAGGAAAAACTGCATCAGACATAAACACACTCTAAATGCTGCTCACAACACCCACCATTTAATCCCTTACTGCCTTCAAATCTCTACAGTCTCCTCATATTTTTGGCTTACAGATCAATTTACATCTTCAGTACAGCAGACCTCCCACTCTTTATTTTTATCTTTTCCTTCTACTCTTAAACTTTCAATTTTTTTCCGATGCCTGCCAAACCATTGTTTTCTCAACACATTACCCGTTACCTCAGTTAGTCACTTAGAAATAAGAAAGGGGTCTGCAAAACGACTGCCAAAACCCAACAGTATTCACACGCTTTCTCATGTCGGCAACTGAGTAAACATACAAAACTGAATCTAATTTAGTCTAGTTTTTATTGACCATACATGAAAAACATTATGGAATCAGCTGCATGAGAAAGTCCAATGATAATTTGTAGAAAGGTTACTTGGACCTTAACGTTGAGAGGAGTTAATAAACATGGTTCTAACCTATGAAGCTGACATCAGATTTACCTACAGAACCTGGACAGCTCCTTTCACAAAAACCATAAAAAACCTATCCAGCACGGTCAATAATGTTCAGAAATTTGCATTCCTGTCTAGAATAACATCAGTTACCAGATATAGACTACTTCCTGTTGTTGTTTTGGAAATTCACTCAGAAATATGTGAGATGATAGATAAACTTGCATGGATAAAACCTGCCCTTAAAGTACGCAGCACACTCCTGCAGCATGTTCACATCCCTACAGTTAACACTGTGTTGGATACTGGTGGTCAAACATGAAGCTAAGCTCTCAGCCCAATTGTGTTGTGGAAGGCTCCAGTTGGGAAGAAATTACATTTAATTGAGTATTTTAAAACTATATTTTTGGTTTCAAACATAGGGACCAGTCTAGGCTTTACTGGTGTTAAGCCATTCATCTGAGTAAATGGAAGTATCTGTAAGACAATCTGTTTCAAAGTCAAAAGCATGTGAATGCAACATAAACAAATGTTAACTCATCTGAATCACTTTCCAATGTTGCTGCAAATGAAAGGTGCAAACACTAAGAGCACACTGCCGTCCACTTGTGAAAATATTTGGGAAATAATAAAAATGACTAAGTGAAATTTCCTAATGAACACCACTGCCTATTAGAAAGAAGAAAGCAGAGTGAGGAAAGGGTCTAGAAACTTTCACAATGAGGAACCCGGAGTCAGCGAGCACATCCCAGTCCCGTCGCTGACCTTGACAACATCCTCCCGCCCTAGAACACGGCAGCTGAGAATCCATTCACTGCCAGAAGAGCAGCTGTTTTACATTTCCAGAGTTTAATGTAAATTACCATTGAGACTAATGCTTTTAGATAGATACAGAATTAACTCACTCACTGTGCAGTCAAGTTGTGAAGGAGTTGTCCTTACAGGGAAGCCAGTGTCAAAATAGGATGATCTCAGCAAAAGAACAGATTTGGATGTCTCAATGATGTAGCTTATTTAAGATGCTATTTCCTTGCAATCACATAAAATATCACCAGTATTTTTGCAGTTCAAGCAAACATCAGAAAAAGGTACCGTCCATCATCAATTTCCATAAAGATGTATGACAGAGGACATTAAATTCTCTTATTTTTACCTTTTCCCAAAATTGGAAAAAACATACAAAACAAAAATTCTTAGGTAAACATATTTATTAATGTTAGATTTCTTAATGTAGAAATACTGTTACTTCAAGTACAGGCTAGTAATCCTGTTTTATTGTTCTTGATGCCATAACAAGAAACAACAGCACCCTGGTCAACAGCTTACTGATCAGAAGAGTCAAATTCTGGTTTCAGGTATTTGTGCACAAATCTCTTGGGTATCAGGATCAATTATATTTTCAGATGGAATCAGAATCTGCCTCATAAAGTACAGTTAAAAAGTTAAGAACTCTTACTATCTTAACACATTTTTCAATAGAAAAGCTACTTGCATATGTAGAGAAGATGTATATATTCAGGATACTAAGACCAATTTCTCAAAATCCATGTCAGTTTGATTGCTATAACATTAAAATGCAAATTATGCAAAACGCATAAGAATATGGTTGATATGGCCAACTGTATGCTGAAAACAATTACTTAACTGCAATCTGTACTTTGGAATAAGGCAAGCACCGAGGGACATCGGGGCAGCAGGAAAATGCTTTTAGAGTTGTTAGTAGCATCTCTTTTCTTCCCTAGAACTAATAACAAAAGCTAATGTTAAAGGAGTTATGAAGAAACAAACAGCTCTCTATTTCCATTTTAATGATAGGATTTGCCTAAGTAAATTTTGTCCTCCAAAAGTGAGATTCACATTGCACGCCTCAGAACCTGCAGCTGGAGTTCTGTATAAATGCAACAAGAGGACACAAAACAAAACTGGCTCTTAGTTCTACAGATTTCCTCGCTCAGGGACACCCCACCTGAGCCCGATCCTACAGGAATGATGCGCTCACCATCCTGTAATGCCGAGGCTGAGTCGGGCGCCAGTTATCGACCAGGGGGAGCTCAGGTTCATTCTCAGCATTCTTGGAAAGGCTGCGGAGCTTTGCCATCTGCAGGAGAGCAAAATCAAAAGTGTCCTTACGGAATTCCCGTGGGAACAAATCCATAGCTCAACATTTAAACCCAGGAGGTTAGCCTAGCCCCAGAATTTGGGAAGAAAGCCTCCTTCAAAGTTGTGAGGATGTCCTTCACCCCTTCAGCACAAGAACTGTAGCTACCTTCTTCTCTAACAATAGTAAAATAGAGAAAAAATGGGTCCTATGTGAACAGGACTGTGAGAAATACATATTGTCACATACAAACTGTCTACAGAACTGTGTACAGCTACAGAAATATGTACTGTTAAACAGTGGAAAGTCCTCAGAAACTGAAGCTAGAATAGCCTGTGTTCTAATAAATGTCTCCTACTCTGACCCTTTCTTACTGTCTGATTTTCAAGAAGCCCCAGCATTTCAGGGCCTTAAGGCTAAATTATAAACTAAGTGTTCACTTCCACGGTGGGTCTGTAGCAGAGGATCTATTCTGCGGCAGTGACACAAAAAAGTCCATTATTAGTGACAGGAATATAAACTGGATAATGACTTGGTCAGGGTTTCAGGTGGTTTGCAAACAGGGTCTGTAGCTTGACTCTTTTTGGCCATTTTTTCTCAATTCAAGGTATGTATGTTCTCTTTGTGGGATGCCACAAGAATTCTGCCCATTCTCTTCAGAACTGTACAATGCTCCTCCTTTACTGCATTCCTGTTTTCAATGGAAGCAACGCTTATACCCACTGACAGATAAATTATGTTTATTTGTTGTCACTGCCATGCACAACATTAGAGGAAAAGCACTTTAAATGTCTTTGAATGGTTTAACCTGAAGGGGATGCATACATTTTCTCACGTGTACACTCGAAAATGTAGCCCTATGCAGGGCACACATCTACTTTGTTCACAGATAGCTTGAACACGCTAATGTGTTCATGGCACTGATTCATGGCACTGATTTCAAGTCGAATGGAAACAGAATTTCTGGCAGGGCTGTAAAAACTGGGTCCACAATGACTATTCTAATTCTAGTTTATGGACTGTGCTGGCTCAGGCATCTCAACATTGTTCTTCACTGCACAGCCTAGAAAAGCCAAATGTCTTGGTTTGCCTGAACAATGATGGGGCTATATTAATAAACCAGTGCAATATGCATCAACTGTATTATTCATCTGAAATTTTTGGAACAATAATTCGTGTACAAACAGTGGGAGATGAAAATATTTCATCATTTTTGTTAGCACTTTCAGGAATAAAGTGGTGTTGGAAAATATAAAGCTGCTTTTTTATTATTTTGTTGAAGATCTGCCTTACTCGGTAAAAAAAGCACACACACACACACACATATGTACACATATCTAAGTATATATCCAGACTATAGCTACACAAAGCTGAAAAACAGTCTGTAATGGGATAGAGGAATTCCAGGGTTGAATTCCTATCCTTTCATTACATGTAACCTGAGCAACTGGGCCATCCACCCCAGATCTCACAGGGGTCTCTAGTGAATTGATTCTTCCTGCAGAGTACCAGCTCACAATCACTGCATTTACTGTTATGGCTTGTATGCTACTACCCTCTGGCTGCAAAAGCATCTAAGTAAGTGATCCATTAGAAAGGCAAAGGCACTTAAAATAATTACTATGAACAAGGCTACAGTGGTAGCATGCTTTCTAGAATTAGAAAGAATTGGTAATATCCTCTTTTATCAATATATTATTCAGATTGCAGACACTTTGGAGGAAGGAAAGTCTTTCTATTATATTCATATACAACATCTCATGTACAGTGGTAATTCTGCCTGCAAAGAACATATCTCAAAAGTAACAGCCAATGTCCCACCTATACGTAGTAAGTCCCTTTTAACCTTAAATGTTCCATTTTTAATAAAGTTGAGCCAGTTAGAGAACAGTCAGTATATTTCTCAAAACTCATTAACTTAAATAACCTGAAAAAAAGGATTAGAGCCAAATACAGCAGTAATCAAAAAGTCTTTTCACGAAGCTGGATCAATGATTTGATAAGCTCTTCCATTCAAAATGTATTTTAAATCAGAGATGTTCAGTAATAACTGCACCTTCCCCAAAGAAATCTGTAGCTGGTCTTCTGTAATATAAATCTGTAAGAAGATTTATAAGAAGACTGAAGCCAATCAAGAGCAGATTTGTATTCTTCATACAAGTACCAGCTTCAAAATATCCTATATATTTACATTTTTGGATGGGCAAGGAAACAGAAGGTAGATCAATTCAATAAGATGTGAAAATTAAGCTGTAAAGTATATGAATACATTGCCATATTTCATTTGTGCCAACTAAGGTTCACATCATACCTGAGTTTTAGCACACTTCACTTAACGTATTCTTTATAAGATAAAGAGCTACATAAATAGAAAGTACTAGAAAATAAGATGTTTTTGTGATAACTTGCACATCGATCAATATCTGTACAATGAAATGCCTTATTACCTTGAGAAGCTAAGATGAAAAATTGTACGTCCACATACAACAGCTACATAACATGTCAGTCACTTGATTCATGTTCATGTTCTCACTATGCTGGAGCCTTGAAATTTGTGATACCATGTCATTATGCTGCTAAGCAGAGGATTAATTTCACACGAGAAAAGTGACTTGTGTTATCATCAGTACAACCACTGCTGAAATGTGGTAAAAGAGAGCATTCAAGACGCTATAAATGGGACAGAGTGGTAGTGAGTAGATTAACAACAAGTGTTTCTTCATGGTAAATGACCAGAGAAGGCTTTTCAATTAGAGAAACGGTAGTCATCTGATGCTGCTCCTGTTTGTGAAAATTCAGCCAGTGTAATCCAGAAATATGTCTATCAAACAGACGACAGACTCTGCCGTAACTTTCTTGGTTATACGATGTCGACTAGAATGTGGGGCAGACAGAGTCACCAATCCTGTTAAGTTTGTATTCTGATAAAAGATGTTTTTGAAAAGAGCATGCAATAAAATATATGTTTGCAAAGTGGAATGTGCAAAGAGTTGAAAACGTCCAGCTGCATTACATGAGCACACTGGACTCCTGCCTCATTCAGTGTATAATGTAGTTGAGGTACCTGTTTGTTTTAAGACTGTCCCACTGTATTTCACTGCAGATGGTCATTTTTTCACAGCCACTCTGTTTCATAATTTGTCCAGTGATTATCCTCAACCATTCATCAGGAAAAGCAATGATTGCTTTACCTAAAGAAGCTTGAGAGAATGGCTGAAAAAGTCCTGCTTTCTGGTGCAAACCTAATAACCTTTTATTAAATACTTTTAACATTCTGATTTAAATGGCTGCAGGGCAATTCAGGTTAATGGCTTGCGCCTTCCCACCTTGGGTATTGGTAATGCAGGATTTTCAGCTCTGTGTAAAATAATGGGTGTGAGCCACATCTGACTCCATCCTTTACTACTAGCAAGAGTTACTACCATGGGAACATAGACACTATTAAACGAAAAGAAAACTCCCTCTTTTCATTAACTGATGTTGCAACAGGTCTCCTGCCCACAAGAGTAAGAACTCTCATGTACAGTAACTATTGCTTGCTATCAGTCCTGCCCCAAACCACAGGACTCAAACCCTTACCCTCCACCCTGTCTTATAATATCACTGATTTATAAAGTTCTCTGATATCTCCTGATTTGAACCACCTTACTGACATGGGCTAGGAAACAGTAAGCTATTCCAAGAAGAGGCCATCATCTCTGCTCCAATTAGTTAATGCAGAAGTCATACAGAGGCAGACAAAGAGATGCGTCTAATAAGTTGATTGCATATAATAGGTTGCAGACTGCACTCCTCTGAAGATTTTTACAGGTCCTCTGTGAAGTTCTAAGACATTTCTGAGGCATGCAGTTCTTTACTCTCCTTTTAATTATGCAATTTCCCACAGAATCCAATAAGCATTTTCCTTATCAAAAGACTTAAAATCAGGTTATGACATGTAATCAGTAAGAAGTGGGTAAAATATTATCTACTTGAGGTTTACCTGGTCTGAGCTGACTATGATAGGCTCTCTGAGAACAATCCAAGTGATGCACTCTTCGCAAGGTGGGGTAGTGAAAGAGCCATGGTATGTCCAGTAGTCATGAGATTTAGGGAAAAGAATTGAAGGATCAAAGTTTGGAAAAGGAGCTTCTTTCCCCTTAAAACAAAACAGAAAAATTTTCAACGGCTCTAGTCAACATTAGGTAAAGATTCAGGTACGGTACTTTAAGAAAGGGAGTGGCTCAAATACATCAAAGTCTGAAACTAAGGACAGATCTACACAACATGTAATGATACAGTGTAGAGGTACTTGAACTAGTTCTAAATGACCCTTGCAGATGGGCCCAGAGAAGCATGATGCAACACACAGCTCCATAATACTATTTCGTGAACCTGAGCTACCTCATTTGGAACAACTTCAGGTATCAAGATGCTTCGCTCATTTCTGTGCAGAAATAACTCTCTTCCTTCTGGCTTCCTTTCCTATGGAAATTCTGCTCATCTAATGAATATGGGATTAGGTAACCATATAATGAAATAAGAGACATGTACTTTAGGTTTGCAATGATATTTACGCTAACACTGTACAAAGAAGGGTCTATCAAATATACATTTAGAGTATGTTAAGTATATGATGCTTATGTATGCTAAGTATAGATGATTATTACCTAATGTTATCTAAGACCAGTCAGTGGCACTTCTCCAGGTCAGTTATGTGGTGTATCTTAAGACAGAATGAACAATCATCTCGAGGTGCCTTTCTTTCTTCACTGACTATTGAGGGATTAACACTGCATGCCTAGTTTTTAGGTAAGTGAAATCAGGTAAGATGAATCTATACTTATAGAACAATATAAGGCTCATTAAAATCAATGAATACTCTTACATAAATCAAAAAAAGACTTTTCTTGTTAAGGAAAAGCTACTTGTTCTATTCTCAAGTATATTCCGGCAATGTTGCAGAGCAGAACTCAAAACTAGAAAATCATGCCTCTTGATTTTTTTGTCCTGAGAATTCCCAGCAATCTTCCTATAATAAAAAGCCCAACTCTGTTACCTTTGTTTTAATAGCATTTATTTCTTCAAGAATCCTCTTCATCTCCGGTTTGGGAGTTTTCCCTACCTGTAAGGAAGAAAGCATGAGCTCAAAGAGTTCTGCCAGATCAGTTTCCTTCTTTGTCATACCTTTTGTACGTGCAGCTAAATATATATCAACTATAAAATTATACTGCATCAACCCAACCTATCATCCCTATCAGCTTAGTAAGCACAGTTCTCAGAACATCTCACATACACATGTCTCAATGAAAGATTTTGTCTGCAAAAGGGAAAGCCAGGCTTAATACTTGAATAAAGTAACTGACTTTTCACTCTGTAACTCTGTTGAGTTACAGTTAAAGTGAACAGCATAACTCACGCTGATTTCAGTTGGCCCTGAATGAGTCTCAAATATTTCATAAGAAAGTTGACGCCTGATAAAAATTCTTATGATTAGCAGTAGGCTGGATTCACAAAGTAAATTTTACTTAAACAACACTGAAACATGCCTAGTTTTGCAATTCTGACACAAAATTGTGCCTATACAATGGAACTTCTCATCTTTCAATGAGTAAGCTTAAAATGTCACCGGTAGTATAAATTGGACATAATAAAACACCTCATGCTGGACAGCGTACCTGTGAGTTTACTCTTTGAAATTTACCACATAATTTGGCTGATGATCTTCAGTTTTTTCAGTATACTAAAGGGGAGACTGGCAACAAGCTTGGAAGGTCATTCTGTATTTTTCTTTCTCAAATTACAAACTGAGCGTGCTAGCAGAGAAACTCAATAGGGATCACCTATCAAAGCAGCAAAATGCTTCCAATCACATTATTGAAGGCTTTTTACTCCTATGTCAGGCAGCGATTTTCAGCAAACTTTTCAGTTCTAAGGACATGAAAGCTAGATCCTCTTATCTTACCCAGGTTTCAATCAAGATGCTACAGCTACTAGCTCCTAGCACTGCAATTTCTTATTCAAAATCTACCCATGTGCCATCACTAGACTATGTGCCACAGGTTGTTCAGCTTGCTCTAACGTAGCAGCATTGCTGTACTTTAAACTCTAGGTACATACAGCAGAAATGCTTTATGAGCCTTGAACTATTGCTTCTGGCATGTCTTCTGTTTGCACCCTTGATTTCTCTTCCTTCAACAGATAATATGAGCCAAATGAGGAAATTACATCAGTACAGAAACTCAGCATCATAGGTAATTTCACAATAAAGCTATTTCAGCCTAACACAGATAAACAACTCTTCAGACGGAAGTCCAGAATTTGCAAAAAGTTTCATTCCAGTTTAAATTCAAACCTGCATCATCAGATAAAGTGTTTGCAATTGCTGATCTGAACAAAGATTTCTATCTTTCTATCTCTGGCAAATATTAATTAAGAGATAGTAAAAACCAGGATTTCAGGCTAAGACTGCATATCCCAAAGATTTTCAAAAAGGACGAGTTACATGTATTGTTTATGAGTCAGTTTTGCCTTGGAAAAGGTTCATGAAAAGCCGAAGAGAGATATTTGTCCTTGAAATCCATCTATGATTAGCACAGAAAACAGCTGACTGCTATTGGTCAGATCTGACATCGTGTCCCCAAAGCCCTCAAAGCAGGGGAAAATACATCTGGATTTACAGTATCCACTGACCACACAGTTATACTATAGCTGCAGGGACACATGAGTGTAGTATTTGATACCGTTTGAAATAACATGACTCATGCTCTGTAACTTGAAAAGTATACATTCTTGAAAGTCCACCTAGGAAAAGCTGTTTAAATCACACAGCTGTGTTACACCACTATATTCAGAGCATTTTGCTGCAGTGTGGTACATTCCCTAGAAAATACAGTGAGAAGGCTGTAGTATCTTTTTAAACTACTAAGAATAGAAAACTCATTAGCAATAGTACAAAGAAGGAATGAGCGCTTCTGCTTACCTGCAGAAAAATGGCCAAAACAGCTATGCCATCAGTTCTTCTCGCTGCATCAAGGTAATTGCTATATTTGGGATTCCAGTGTAACAAATGTAGCTGGAAATAAAGAAAAATAAATGTAAAAACTTCTACTATGGAGTAGCAAGCCACTACAGATTGAATTCCGAATTCATGTATGTAAGTGAGTTTAGGCAACAAAGAATGTGGACTAGGCTTTCACAAAAATGGGACAGTAGTTCGTATATGAGGTATATCAGCTATGTATTACCACTCTGATTTTTTTCTTTAAGAAACTGTACACATTTCAGTATAGAAACTGCAAAAAATAATAGAAATCTCACCTTACAACTGAAGAGCATATATAATAGAAAAGACGCTTAAGGAAGCAGGTAAAATAAAAATATGCAGTTCAGAAGTCATCTACTTTCATGTGATTCATTTACACTTGGTTTTCAAATTCAAGTAATTCTAGCAAAGAATCCATATGAATGTATGCTTTGCTCATTGTTACTCTACAGTGCTCAGCTTCCCTTACCATCCTGGAGTGGTAGAAGATCAAAGTAATGCATTATTCCTCATTTCTATGGCTATAATTTTATACTTTTGCTGTAAAATTATACTTTCAGAATAGTATTTCAGTAAACTTGCATTACTTCTCAGTAATTCAGTGTTGCTGCCCTATCTTTCAAATTGCACACGTTTGTATTTGGGGTTTGAAGATACGGACACTTTTGTTTTACCTAGTATTTTCTTTTCTTATGCTTTAAGAATTACTTCAGCCTGGTTTACAACTATGACAGTACATGGAACTAAAAAGAAAATGTCACAGATAAATCAGTTAATAGAAATACCTACTTGCAAAGCACAGAAATGGCATTTTCTTCTCACCTGAATGATCATGACAAATGTTATTTTATACCGTATCTTAAGGTAAAAAGTAGCGAGTCCTACCTCTCCTGCATATCTCACTCCATTCACAACATGCTCAGAGCCATGGTCATCAGAGGAACCCCAGTGAAAGTGAAGCTGACGCAGCCTGTAGACTCCTGGGAGCGGCCCACCTCTCAGCACTGCAATTGATAATCTACATCAGCATTAGACTCAGGTACCTTTCAGGATTTTTTAAAAGACACAATATATTTTTTAAAAATATTTACACACAGTTACTGTACAAAGGATCTACATTCTGAGAGTACCGGGTACCTCCTGGAAATCTACATTGACTTCAGCACCATCTCAGGCAACCATTTTCAGCTAGATGTATTCACTTACAGGCATTTGAAAATGTTTTGTGTGTCTAGGCTTCCATTATTGTTAATGCAGATCATGGTTTTAAATCAGCTGCATAAATGGGAACATCTAGAGACACCTCTAAGACACATGCACAGGGCTGGCAGATGTGACATAAGAACTATAGGAGAACTGTATTTTTCTAAAGCAGCACCTGCAGGCAAGGTGGAATACATTAGGTCATCAAGAACGGTATGAGCTATCTGTGTTTGGGTAACTGAACTAAGCCCTGAATCAAAACAATCAGCTAATAATTCTGCTTGCCTTAAAGTAGACACTGAACAGATAGTCTTCTAAACTGCTCTCTGGACTCCATTGATTAAATCTCCACTGACTAAAATGGGAGTTTGGATAGACATCACACCTATATTTAAAGGCCCCCATTAGACACCTAAATTTAGGCGTCTTTATCTCCATCTGAATGCCATCTAATACCAACTCCTGTCCAAGCATATGAAAAATAGTCATGATTAAGATCAACGACTAAAATGCTAGATATAAGAGATTCCCACAAAATCCTACAACTTGTGTCTCTTACTGCAGACTATGACATACTCATTTGAAAAACAATGAAAATAATGATGCTACTTCTGCCATAATAGCTGCTCCCTGTGGATTTGGAAGGAGAAAGATAACAACAAATGAGATAGAAAAGCAGTTACTGAGAATGCAAACTATTTTCCTTAAGAAATTCAGCCTGTGCAATTCCTGTGACAAACAATAGCCTGTATTCTAAATAATCTTAGCATTCTTACATTATAAACCAAATGGTTTAAATATGTTTTTTAAATCAAATGTTGCAAATATAAAACCAAACGGTCCTCTCAAATATAAAACCAAATGGTCCTTACTTGAAAGGAAAAACTGAAGAACTCCTTGACATTCACCAAATACTAATTAATATCCAATTCTCACTGACTTTATTTGGAAATAGAAGTTAATACACATCCCTATAAACCATTCAGCAGCTCTCAAGAGTTGGTCTTTGTATGTTAGACAAAAATATCCTTACATCAGAAAAGACAAGGAATGAAGTCCATGATCATCTCAACAAACCAAATGGTCCTTACTCGAAAGGAAAAACTGAAGAACTCCTTGACATTCACCAAATACTAATTAATATCCAATTCTCACTGACTTTATTTGGAAATAGAAGTTAATACACATCCCTATAAACCATTCAGCAGCTCTCAAGAGTTGGTCTTTGTATGTTAGACAAAAATATCCTTACATCAGAAAAGACAAGGAATGAAGTCCATGATCATCTCAACAAAAAAAGCACTAAGAATATTAAGAATATTCTTTATTAAACATTAAAAGCAAGCTGTTATGCTTAACAAGTCCCTTTTACTTGTTTCAGCAGACATTCAGTACTGTTGCCGATGCAGACGCAGTAACAGTAGTAGCTGACAAGGCCATCAATTCTCCATTAAAATAGATCTGTAAGACCAAATAATCCTGTTTAAGGGAAAAATGTGTCATTATTTCCACTGATGGGCCATCAGCAGTCATTTTCAATCTGGCACTAGGTGAACCTCTATATAACCTCATGCCAGCACATTAATGCTTCATTCATCTATAAATAGACAGTAGCTTGTACTTACCACATTTCGAGCAGACAGAATGATACAAAGACTAGGATGCCTATAAACTAGCATTTCCCAAAGGACAAAAAGAGTTTTTCTTTTATTTACAAGTGTGTGATAGAAAACATACAAATACATGAAATGAAAATAGTAATAGAAATTATGACAATAAATGAAATTTCCACATATATTAAAAAGACAAAATGCACAGTTACAAGAATCATGCTCTCCAATATCTAAAACATAAAGGTCTCAAGCTATATGTCTGCATAGCGTTAAGTTAGTAAGAGGACTATTTATTTTTTTTAAACATGTGGCTTGGTTCACCATAAACTGAGCAGCGTGAGATAGAATTTGGCTCATGAAAGAATGTTTTTTCCACTGTCAGTGTAATCACTGAGGCAGATGTTCCCAGGGAGGGTAACTGCTGCACAGGAGGATAAAGCTAAAGCCAGACAAAACTTTTACCTCACTCTGTGTGTTTACACAGCAAAATTAAGATATGATGTAGTGTGGGTGGACATGGCCGTTCCACTTTACCTTTGTTAGAAACGTATCCATAACTGCAGAAGTGACCAGAAGGTTCTGAAATCAGTGTATAACCACTGATTTAGCAAATTAGGTAGGGGTATGGTTGCTAAGCTGTGCTAATGTCAATTGTCATTCATCCTCACTAAACCAAAACTAGCACAGTTATGTCTACACAAATGCTTTCCCTGTTTGTTATGAAGGCATACTGGGACACTCGGGTGGAAAAAAAGCAAGGAACAACAAACACATTCAGCAGGTGACCTGTGTTTATAAACATGAGAAGCACTAACTGTTCTTGAAAGATTTATGATCTTCACATGCGGCCACATCTATAAAATTAACTGGTAATCCACAGGGAAATTAGCTTAGTATTACTTAGTATTACTGCGTGGCAGGTGAAAAACATTTCACCTTTGTTTTATAACCACCTGTTTTATAATAGCACAGTAAAGTACAAAAGTAATTCTTTATATCAGTGGCACATTTAAAAAGTTTTTAAAAAGTCTCTGCTCAAAAGAGAATCTCAGTATTTAAACATTCAAGACAACTGTGGAGATAAAATATGTTTTCTAAAAGCTTTCAGAACATACACAGTTCTAACTGATTTTTTTTAAGCACTGAATAGATACGCAGAAAAGTTACTCACTTTGGTTTATACTTGAATTTGGTACTCTTGAGGGGAGGGACAGGGAAAAAGAAGTCTGACAGACTTCTGTCGGTATGCCATCAACCTTCATCTGTGCTACAGCATATCTATTTCAGTTTTGTGCTTCTTGGTCAGAGTCTGTTCAATAAGCTCCAAAACTATCTTTCTTTGTGATCTAAGGTAGGATTGAAATCTCATCTCCGGGGGCAGAAAGCTGATAAGCCATATCATAACTGTAGCTTCAGAAGGCCCTGATTGTTCAATCATTTTAACCTTTAGCAATGACATGGAAATTCAAAGTTAATAGCAACTCAATTCTCAAATCTCCTGCGCCCAAGCTCTGACGTGCTCCTATTAACGCTGAATACCTTTCATGCAGACACTGCAAATGATAGATGTGTTAAGCACAAAAAGAAGACTTTGCCATCTTCAGCAGTTTGCAGCATCTGAGCTATTGAATGGTATGCAGCATAGCTACTGGGGTACACAAGTTTTGGGATGTAGCTGTGCTATTCTTGTAACACTTAGTGACCTGTTCAAATGTAAATTCAGTAAACGAAAAGTTAAGTAAGTATACTTCAGAGAGGAGAATTGAAGGTAGGAGATTAGCTGCTAGCTCAACTCATACTGTAAACCAGTAGCTTATTGTATAAACTTTTAGCACAGTTTCCCAGCCAATGAACGGACAATGTTAATTCTTACGAGAGCAATTCACATCAATGCTTCAATTTTGTCTCCTTTAAAGGTCTGTGAACTTCTTTCACGCATGCATGGCTTTATTTTAATAGTCAAAATTTTTTTCAGGAATCAATCAAAACAAGACTGCCTATGGACAGGCTTCCCGCACTTCCCAATTAAAGTTACTGGTTTTTGTTCTCACTGTTTTAAAATTAGCTAACAAGTAAATGTTTATTCATCAAAAGTTGAAAATCAAAATCTCATTTATGAAGATAAATAAGAATTTGCACAAAGTATTACTCTAGGAGATGGTGTCTACAAGCACTAGTCATGCCAAAAAAGGCTGATAAGCAACAAGTTCTAACTGTTGATGTTATGATACAATGTTCTGGTTGGGTTTTTTTTGCATCTTCCACTTCCAAAGGCATATATGCTTTTGATAAGAAATCAAAAGATATGATAAGAAATTGAAAGATTCTGCAAAAGGATCAGGGTAATCCTATAGGACAATGTGCCTGTGTGGAGGTACTCCAAGCCCTTAAACATCATCCATCAGAAAGTTAGTAAAAAGAGAAGTAGCAATCTGTTTGGCTAATGAATTTCCATATAAATTTTATATTACATATTATATATATTATATTATACTATAGTTCAAGCAGAGAGACAAATTTTATAGAAAGATTTCTAAAATTCAGTCACTCTTCAGACAGCACAAAAATAAATTAGTAAAGACCTGCATATGGTTTCAGTATTCTCAGCACTTTGAGCTGAGCCTTGGGATTTGGATCAGTATCTGTTTATATTCCATTTCTCCTCTGTTAGGCAGTACTCCACTTTATCCAAACTTCCATTCTTGGACATTCCAATTTCAGAATATGCTGAAATTATCTTCCATAAATAGGAGTGATAACCTCATTGATCGCTGGGATATTCCCCAGACAGCCAATAAGTAAGAAGGGATCATCCAGTCCTAGTAGCAGAGGTCAAGGAATAAACTGTTCTGTACCTTTTTCAATTTGCTGTGGTTAAATATCTTTGCATTGCTGTGACTGAATTCTTTGATCTAACCATCTACCCACAGGTATTATACCAAACGGGCTTTAATTTTAAGAAAGTCGCAGGCTACAGATTTCACTCAACATCATGACAATAGTCCTTCCAGTGAGATGGTCTCAGGACACTCCTCTGTCACAAATATTTTTGGAATTTCAAAAGGAAACAGACTCTGCTAGTTGAAGTAAGATTGTAGCCCCAATTCAATACAAAACTAGTTAATTACTGCTGGATCTGAAACAGTATCTGAGTTGGCATTCTGGCTAAGAAACATGGGAGTTGCGTATATCTGACAGGCAACCAGCAGGCTACCAAGGTACTCCACAGTTCCAGTATGGGTTTTCTTGTGGCCATCCTGGCAAAAGCTGGGTGATATGAACAAACTACAAAAGAAGCTGCAATCAAGTAGACTCTCCTTCAAACAGGAGTCCCAACAGGACTCTCTGACAGTGGCCTCAATTAAGATCACTCATTAACAGATTCAAGACTCTTATCAACATCCCTCTAAGGGGTGATGCTATAAAGCACAATCATCCAAGAGGTTTTGATTTCAGCTACCTATTTTTTCCCAGATTTTGAGACTCCAGCCTCCATCTGCAGTGAGTTTCTGATGCTTACGTTTCTTCTTCCACATAGGTATGGGTAAGACAGGCCACTAAGTCCACAACAATTCACTAACTTGTATTGAGAAGCAGCAGTTCGGTACCACCTATCACCTGGGACTACAGCCTCTGCACTGTGGTTTTCTCATTTGAAGGGGGGCTATCTTATTTAATGATTCCCACACGTCATAGGTAACAAGATAGACACGATCCAGCTCCTAGAACAAGTATCTGTCATCAAAGCATTCAATGATATAGCAGGTTCCTAAAATCAACCAGAATTTATAAATAGCTGGAGATAAATTCTCAATCATGTCCACTAGGACAGCTCCAAAGATAGAAGCAATAAGGCCTTTTCCAGCATAGCCTGTGAGTTAAATTGCACGGACACCTTTCCCACTAGCCTTTCTCTAATAATTTGGACTTAAGAAACTTGTCCAAACTGCGAATATTCAAAGTATTCCTGGCAGAGAAGACACAGGTGAAGTAAAACTCTGAAAAGTCCATAATAATTCATTTTATCACTCCGCTTTGCAATTTACTTGGAAACCTTGGAAGGTATCATCATCTCTCACTTCTGAAAACCTAGATAAGACAGCAGATACAGATACGACCACACTAACTGGAAACTTTAGGAAAGTAGAAAAAAAACCTAAGTGTTCTGCCTAAACCAGAAATAATTCAGATTAGATAGGCAGGTAGGCTTTGTCCCAAAGGAAAAAATCTTCATTCAGATATGATTATTATTCCCTGTTTATGTATTATGCAACAGGTGGTTTCTTTACACAGAATATAAGTCATTGTACATATCCTAAGAAACTTAAAACATGTTCAAGTCAGTAGGAGTACGCACAGCAGAATTTGTCCTGCAATTAGCATTATATTAGAGAAGGAACACCACCCACAGACTCTGTAGGCAATGACAAAGAGACAACAATAAACACTGCATGTTTCCTGCCTTCCAAGAGTTCAGAATACACCTACTTTTTTTCCAGTGAGTCACTTTTTCTTGTTGAGATCAGAACACACACACTGAGCAGTTAATCTGAAAAAAATTTAGAATATTCCAAACCTTTCTGCTCTTTGTGGCCAGTGTTGCATCCATGCTATATATTGCTGTGCCTGGACACTCCACAGTGTGCCCAAACTGAATAGTTATTACAATAATTAATTTGACATGGATGCATGTGAGATGCAACCATGGATACATTGATGCTGTTCCAACAAATAACAGAGACATAGGTCTCCACAGAAAAGCTGATAAAACAGAAGCAAGATGGGAGTACTGCTCCAACAGGAGCTACAACAGGCAGCTGATGATGAGGCAACTACTGTCGTCTCAGTGTAAATGTGGTAAATAATGGTCACGGAGGTCTTCCAGCATGTCACAGCTACATGTCTTTAATGACGTATCTTGAGGTCTAACATTAAGAACAATATTTTTATATAATTAAAACTAAAGATTCCTACCTTGTTAAAGAACTAATCAAATTCTGGACCGTGCAGTCATTCGTGATTTTTGATATTTTATTAATTAATGCAGCTCACGCATTTTGATCCTCAGTTTTCATGAAACCAAAAAGTCATTAAAAATCCAAATTAAATCCACACACACAGATATTTAAGACTAACAAATCTATTAGTAAAACTGCTCCTAATAATTATAGTTGTCAATCTTAATTATATTGTTATAATAAATGAAGCTCACAGTGTACTTAAGAAATAACTGTACACTGTGGAGGAAAGACTGTTTAATATTTTACTCTTTTACTAATATGATATTATAATATTTATAACGTTATTATAAATTTACTAATTTTACTGAACACATTTCTTTTTCCTTTTCCTACCATTTCATGCACTACAAATAATAACACAATTCTGTTGACCCTACAAATAAGAATAAGGAGTGAGGTATTATCCTAGCATAACAGGTTAGTATGCCAACGAACTTGCTACTTTTGTTTGTCTCTATGAAGGATATATCCTAAAAGCTTTGTGAAACTATGCATGTGATTTTTCCTTTTCATCTCAGTAGCAAAGTGGTTTCATGCTTCTTTCAGTGATTTTTTTCTTTGAAATATAGCCCAATATACCAATATGACGTTTTAGTGGTTACATCAACGGAAGCTAAATACTTCTAGCCCCTGTTAGGCAGAACAGACATATCTCTTCAAAATATATAATCCCACTAACTCTTAAAAGATATTCATTACATATGTTGCACCCTGCATTTTGTTATGACTGATGAGAAAGATTTTGGAGAGTAAAGCTGAAACTCTGAAATTTCTCAATCCTATAATCCTCATTAAGACAAAAATCTCACGAAAGCCACAGTGACTTTGTGGCAACATCTGGTTTACTACTTCATTTATCAAAAATTACATGGATACAGTCTTCAAATACTGTAAATTCAGTCATATACACAATTAAAGATGTTGTGTGGGCATCTCAAATAGTCTGGGATGGAATTCAACCCTCCAAGACAAAGCCTGGACTCCATGCCCCTGGAGTAACACAACAGCACTGGATTTTACGAGTACAGAGATTTACCCTACAACTTAATACATCCTAAATCAAGCTTTTCTGCAGCTCCCTCCATCCTCTAGGATTTTACCTGTGGATTGAAACTGTAGCCACAGGCCTTTATCACCCACTGTGCAGGGCACTGTAGTCACAGAATCCTGTATGTCACATGCAGATGCTACACAGAGACCTTCTGACAGCAATGAACACACAGTGCACGCTTGGTCTTCCAAGTAACTTTAGAAATATTCACTAATATATAATAACACCTTGAAATAAAAACAAAACTAACCTGATCTGTCGAAAGAATCATCAAACACAACTCTGCAGGTTTTCCCGTTATTGAGGATGGTCTTAGCTGCACCAGGATCATAACTAGCGAACCACGGTAGTAGGGAGCGATCATAATGCACCTCTTTGTTATTGATTTCGATAGGTGACTGATGACGTCCTTTGGCAATTGGGTAATTTTTGTGCCACTGATCTGGTCCTAGAAAAAATACAAATAAATCTCATGAAAACCTTTGCCAGCTAGGTATGAATTATACTTGTTACAAGTATATATTGCTTTGCTTAGCTACAGAATATCAGTAAAATGTATTAATAAGTGGGTTACTAATCACCTGGTTGTTAGTCATGATCTGTCAAGAGTTTCACTGTGTAAAAAACAATGAGATCATTCTAACTGGACTGTTAGATATCACAAGTTATTCAGCTGAACCTAAGCACTCTTACAGAAAGCTCAAGACTTACTTATTAGGAGACACACAATACACCAGATAAAGGAAAGGCTCATACTCAAAGTCCAGCAATGGCTAAAAATGTGTCAGGATATACCCTAATGATTCCAACTGTGATACTGCGCATCCAGATGCAGAAAGGAGAACCTTCTGACATCTGAAGAAGACATGAATTTGAAATCTGGATTTCACTATAGCCATGGTTTAATCAAATCAAAAGAGCCTAAGACAGGCTGTGCTATGTTCCCTATGCTACAGCAAAAGCAGAAATAGCAGGACACCAAGATCGTCAACTTCTGAAGACAGAAGAGACCACTGGAACACTGGAGACTGGTGCTGAACTAGGCGGGATTAAAGATGGATTTTCAAACTATCAAATTTTAAATTATGCTAACAGTATAACTGAACAGTTATACTGACTTTATTTAACTTCAATTTACATTTTAATATTCATGTATTCAAGACTAAAAAATAGTCCATTATTAGATACATTTTTGCAAGCATAAGCGCCCACAACCCAGTGTTCAAGTCTCCTTTCAGCCTTCGCTTGGACCTGTATCTCTTACACCGCACACTCTGAGGCTTGTTACCCAGTTACAAACCATTGCTGTGGCCTTTCTTTCCACTATTCTTACATCTTCCACACCTCTGAACCGAGAGCATCCTAAGAGGCCATGCTATCTAGCAATGCTGCGGATGCACAGGTCCAAGTCGACCTTCACGCTTCCAGCTGATATTACCTCCTCCCAGTAAGTGTTCAAGAACTGCTCTCTCTCGTCTTGCCTCGGCTTTGCGCTCAGAGCCGCTTTGTGACGAAGGGACCTA